CCTGCACCACTTTACCAGGTGATGCCACTGTCGTGTTGACTTTAAACTTGGAAATAAACCAAGTCAAGAGCCTTGGCTGCAGCGAAGGGGAAAGTCGTGGTGCTCGTGGTGAGGCATTTCCTGTGTGTTGTGTGGGACAAGGTCTGCAAAGGGTCTGTGGTCTAATGACTTTGCGAAACCCTACGGTAAAGGTAAATGAAGTTCGTTCCTGCAAGAGTGCTGTGAGCTTTTAATATAATACACTGATGAGCTTCAGGAATCTCCAAGATGGTTAACGCCCATGGAATACTTCTGAAAATTATTTCACCGTGGAATGCTCATCATTTTTCAGGGCTGGTTTTCTATAGAATGTACTTTCAGGGATAGGATAGTAATTATATGACAATATTAAAAATATTGGGTATGTACCAATTACTATACCGCAGCTTTAAAAGTCCCATCTTATTTTTTTTTACAATTTTCTAAAATAAACACGCTTATCTCCATTATGCGATGAGAAAACTGAGATTCAGTTTAAGACACTTAAACTGAAGGGGCAGAGTCAGAATCTAATTCCAAAAAAGGGGACCGTACCAATTATTTCACCCTAAAAGTGAAGTTGAGTCTCTCAGGATTTCAGAACTGTGGTGGCCAGCACCCAGAATGAGAGATGGTGAGTGACTTGCACTGTTGTCCAGTCCATGTTCTGCTCTGTGCATGAATAATGGCAAATATTTGCTCAGCACTTCCCCCCACTCCCCTACTTCCACCTTGTTTACGCTGCATTTGGAGAGGGATTAAGTTATGCTAATTCCACACAACAAGCTAAAGCCCATTTATCACAAGTTTCCATTCCTCAGCAAAACACACAAATGCACCTAAGTGTTGGGCAAATGAAGACATGCAGCTGCTGTTGTGTGGAGCAATAATGGCCTGTTTATATTCAGGGCCAGATCAGCCAGCAGAAGCCACCCACAGAACACAGAGGGCAATGGTTTTCAGCCTCTCCCGGCCACTGCCTGCTGCTTCCTGCGGCCTGCTGCTTGCCTCCGAGAAGTGCAGGAGGGATGCAGAGATGGGGAGGGGCTCGGAGAGCACAGGTTTCAGAACTGGGGACACAGGAGCCCATTTTCCCAAAGCAATGTGCTAATAACTAAACAGCGTTAATGCAGCTTGAATGAGGATTTGGGAGTGATTTTGAATTGGGAGATTTAACCTGGTGATGAGGAGAGAGAAGAGGAGGAAGGGAATAGTCCATTTGTGCGTGTGCACAAGGATGCGTATGCAGGCATTTGCTTTGTCTTAGTGAGAGCCTGGCCAAAGCAATTTTCTCTCTTCAGTTTTCCATTTATTTCAAACGCCAACCCTTTCGAGCGGACTTAAAATTCTTCCTGGTTCCTCCATAACACTGATATCCTGCTTATTCTGAAAGCATTCAGCTGGGAATTAGAAGCTTAGTAAGTAAAGCTAACCTGCCTCTAACCATCCTAACCACCTTTGGCCCCTCTCTGGGACTCTGTTTGTTCCCAGTCAAATCAACGGCTTGCAATAGAAGATTATTTTTCAAATAGCTTCCTATTGTCATTTCCTTAAGTATTAACATGGTATTGGGATAATGTGGAGAAAGTGAGCAACCTTATCTTTTATGAATTCATAAGATAGCTGAGATTTGCTTCAGAATAATCCAGTGATTGGGGTTATGGGAACTGGATGGGGTTAGAAATAAAATAATACTGCTGTTTGTGGCTTGATGGTTATAGAAGCTGGGTGGTGGGTACAAGAGGCTTCATGTCTCTATTTATACCTTCCACACATGTATATGATATATGCAGATATATGTAATGTATACATGTCATCCAAGTTTAAAAGTGTATGAGCTGTGATTTTAAAACTTAGTAACGTTTTAACTTGTGTCACTTGTTAAATTGCTTCTTGTGCTATGGTTTTGTCTTAATTCCCATACTCAGAAATGTCTTTTAAAATTTCGGATATTCCTCACTGAAATGAGCCCAGGGTTGACGAGGTCTGTCCAGAAGGTATCCAGCCATGTACTATGAAAAAATAGAAACACTTATTAAAGAAGATACAAGATACAAGAGACATTGTACGTAGGACAATGACACCTCAGTCCCCTTCCAACTGGGCACCTTGGGCCCTTACACAGTTCTGCCAGTCACCATCAGCTGCCCAGTCGTATTTTCCTGAATCTCATTGACCGTCTGAAATCTCTTCCCTTTCAAAGGTGATTTTAGTTTTAGGAAAAGCCAGAAGTCACAGGACACAAAATCTGGACTGTAGGGGAACTGAGTCACCTCAGTGATTTGATGTATTGCTAAAAAAACTCTGCATGAGACATGATGAGCCAGTGTGTTGTTGTGATGAAGCTGCCAATCACGAGTTGCCCATACCTGCAGCCATTTTCATCATATTCCATCTCTCAACTGATAAAGAACATCGAGGTAGGACTCCTTATTAATTATTTGGCCTGGAGGGGTGTACTCATGAAGGACAACACCTCCCCAATCAAAAACCACAGTTAACATGATCTTGATCTTGCTCCAGTTCTGCCACACCTTCTTTCGTCATGGAGAACCAGGCACTTCTGTTGGGCGACTGGGCCTTTGTGTCCAGATCACAGCCATAGACCCATGTTCGTCTCCGGTTATGACTTTCTTGAAGAAAGCTGGTTCACTGGCAACCATTTGAATCAAGTCATTAGCAACTGAAAGCATGATGTTCCTTCTGCTTTGGTAGCAGAAGTCATGGAACAAATTTTGCCACGACACATCCCATGCCAAGATCTTGTGTCAAAATCTCGGACACAGTAGTTTTGGGAACCCCCAGATCAGCTTCTCACACCATCAGTCGCTGATCTTTGTTGATTGCAGCCTGTACACATTCAACATTCTCAGGTGTTCTGCTTGTTGCAGGCCATCCAGAATGTGGATCACTTTCAACAGATTCCTGACCATCTTTGAAGCATTTCTGCCACACTTTACTTGTGCTGCACTCATTGAATCATCCCTGAAAGCCTTCTGAATCATCTGAATAGTTTCCGTCAAGGAATACTCAAGCTTGATGCAAAATTTGTTGCAGATCCGTTGCTCTACTCAGTCATTTTGAATATGATGGCCACACAGTACACACACTCATTCAACAGTGTCTACCGCCCCCACTGACTAGTACAGCGAAGTCATCGTTGTTCACACATGCACAGTCCAGTCCACTCTCTTTGGCTATCAGGTTACATCAATGTCACACAAACCATTTTCATCATATTAACGATGGCTGGACTTTTTCTAGTCAGACCTTGTATACAAAGTGCGTGTGTGTGTGTGAATGTGTGATACTTGGTTTCAAGTCTTCTTCCATTTACTAGTTCTGAGTCCTGTGGAACAACCTTAACCTATGAGAATCTCATTGTTCTTATCTGTTCAGTGGAAACCATGGACCCTGCCTTCTGCTTGTGAGAGTCAGTAGCAATAGTGTCAATGACAGATGGAGGTGTTCTCTTCCCTGATGACATCCTACCAGTTTTGGTGTGAACTCTGAAGTATCTCTGGACTCCTGTGCTGATGGCCCTGTGCTTGCATAATACAATTAAAGAGACCTCTATTTTCTGATCGTGAGCTAAAAGCACACGTGCCTTGGGTGTTCTACCACATCTTCTCACACACAGACCTGCACACTCCAACTTCACAGCTGAAATGCTCCTTGACGTACAGAGGAGGGAGAATTTTAGTGCTTCCTAAAAGTTGATTCTACTAAAACAATTAAGCCTGTTTTTCGAGAGAGGGTTTGACTTTGTTTTTCACCAAAATGATTAGGCACACGGAATACACGTCTCAGTACATAGTGGTTATTGGGTGGTTGGGATGTTATCCTACAATAACCAGACAGACCAGAAGCAGCCTTGAGTCTTGTCGGAGACCATCAGTATTATAGTCTCTATCCTTGAACTTTTGTTCCTGGGTGACCAGAACATTGCACTTTTGGCTCACAACAGAGAAAAGCCACAGAAAATGGTAGTTAAAGGTCACCCGTATTTCTGAGTATCAGGCTTTGCTTAAATTGATGGAAGTTAAAAGGTCAGCATTCAGGCTTCTAAGGGGTACACATTGCTTGCCTTTTATGCTTGAGTTATGCTGTTTTTGCAAAATGTCAGTTTTCAAGAAGGCGAAAATTAATTGCAAAACAAAGTTTTAAAGCACAACAACTTTGACATGGGGGAGGTTCAGAGGTGGAGAGAGATGTCCCCAAGAGCTGTGATGTAAGGTCAAACTCAGGTAGTGAGAATCTTTTATGGATGAAAAGACATTAGTTTAGTACGAGAGGTGAACTCAACTCATCTGAGTGGCTGGTGCTTCGTGGCATGAGCCGTCAGGGCTTTGGAAAGTTGTAGCAACAACACCCAATTGCACACACCTCCTCCAGCCCTTGTGAAATATTCACTAGGCCATCAGTTTTCTGCATGTGAAAAACATTAGCATGCTATTACTACTTTTCAATTCTTTCATATGACAGCAGCTGGGACAAGAATGAGAGAAAGCGGATAATTCATAAACACATTCCTTTGGTGCTTTTTTCTGATTCTCTGCATTGCTTAGTAGGCAAAGCTTGCATTCAGAGTATAAGAAACTTTAGTAATTATATTATTATAAATATTGATTAGAAAGATAGCAGCGGCAGTAGCCACACAAGCTAATATTTGTAAAAGCCTTAATATGTGCCTAGGGCTGTTATCAGTGCTTTACATGCATTGACTCATTGATCCTGACAGAAACGGATGAGTAGCCTGGCTGCACTGTCCTTCTTGGACAGGCCAGCTGGAGCCTTCTGGGGGCCGAGACAGGTCAAGCTCATCCACATTGCAGCTGAGTGACATGCACCTTGTGTGTAAGCCCCACACACTTTTCTGGGACTTGCCCTTTAGGTGAACAGTGTAAGCCTCTCATGGAGTCCCCGCCCGCCCACCCACGTCATGACCACAGCTCGTAACCATGCCTTGCTTTCTTCCACAGCCCCACTGGTGGACCTCACTCCGACCCATAGTGGATCCGCCATGCTGATGCTGCTCTCTGTGGTGTTTGTGGGGCTGGCCGTGTTTGTCATCTACAAGTTTAAGAGGTACGTGTCCCTCTGTCCTTGTTTCCCCGCCCTCTCTCTTCTCCATGACAGGTTCAGAACATGTGATGTTCGTGTCCTGCACATAGCAGTGATGGTTTCTGTTGATGTTTTAGGAAGATCCCGGGGATTAATGTTTATGCCCAGATGCAAAATGAGAAAGAACGAGAGATGGTCAGTCGAGTCAGTCCCACTGAGAGCAGGCCCCATTTCTCTCAGACTGAACTAAGGAGGCCTGGCCAGCTGATAGATGAGAAGGTGGAATCCCAGCTCATAGGTAAATGATTCCCAGTAGCTGTCAGCTCTTCAGCCTGAGTAGTCAATGGCTGAGTCTGTCTCTAACCCCTTTCTGGCTTGACATCACCACTTTTTCTACTCTAACATTTCTGAGAGGAACAGCCAAGATGCCTCTTTCCCTGCTTCTTCCCTTTGGAATGAGGAAAAATGCCTTCTTGCTCCTGTCTACTTTTTTCCTCTCTCTCTCTCATGAGTTCCTCCCTTTCCAATAACCCTTGCTACAATATCGGGTGTTCTTGGGTAAGGAACAAAGCATTTGTTCTGACAATATTCAGGAAAGGCAGGCCTCGGAGGCTGGGTCTGGTGGTCTGGAGGGCCAGGCAGGGTTTGGGAGGCAGGGTATATAATGAGCCTAACACGGTACGGCAGCCTCACTTTGAGGCAGCTTCCAGGAGGGCACACAGCGCAGGTCCACTTGAAGACGAGTGACAGCCTGATCGCCTTGGGATTGTTTAATTTGTTAATGTAGCTCTAATATAAAAACTGTCCCCCAGAAAACAGAACCTGAGAATTTTAAGGACAAGAGGCATAACGTTTTTAAGACATCCCAGGAGCGGGGGTTCTTACGGGAGACCACTGGAGGGTTAGGCAATCACAGAGCACGTTGGCATCTTCCTCCTTTTCACCTGGCCCCTACCGGGAGTGTTGAAATGGACCTCATGTGTATCAATAGAGCCCACCCTGCCTATGAAGTCAGCATGCTAACCCAACAGCTAGGAATAGCTCCAGTGGGACTGCTGAGTCCTACTATTTATTACAGAGAAAATTTTCCAAGAAGTTAGACAAACACACGAAGCCACAATTGTGATCCATTTCTCTTCTTGTTTCCTCCTGTCTGTTGGCAACAGGAGTTGAAGCTGTAACTGTCCCCATCTAGACCCTGCATTGCTGACTACGATGGATAAATTACTGTATACCCATTCATGCTTCCCTCTAATGTAATAATGCTAGACCACCTAAGAAGGCCTTTATAAGATTACTACTTGGGGGGAAAAATGAGTACCTAAATTAAAACATAACCCTCTCTTTAAATGGATAGAAGAAAGTTCCCTGGCTGTATTCAGGGGAAATTTAAATGCAGACTGGCTCATATCAGAGGTAATAATAACCCCTGAAGCCACATGTGGTGTCCAATTTTCACAGTGTGCTTTCTTTTATTTGGGGAGACAGGGCGATAAATGTGTAATTGCTTTGGGTTTAAAAGAAAAAGCCTTTGCTGTCTTCAAGTCCAGAGAAGCATTCACCCTGTCGATTCACTGCTAAAGCTTCTAAGTGCATTTCTGTGGGTCATTTGGTTTTCAATCCCATTTCCACCGGGTATGAAGCGCAGGCGCTGTTGACTTTATCAGAGTAGCCAGGCCTCCTCCGCCAGGAATGTCTCGCAGCACATTGCAAAGTCTCTGACACCTTTCCTTTTCCAATGTCATTAAATGAGTAAGTGTTACACGTTTTCTCTTAGGAGAGTAGCTTTACCCTCCCCTCCCTCCCCTTCTACTCAACCTGGTGACTCAACTCTCCGATTGCAAAGAGCAAGACAAGCCACTCCGCCTTCAACGCCAAAGCGGGGATCTGCTGGGGCGCAATTTGCAATTTAAGGAAAACCCCCAAAGGCTACAGGCGACCAGCTGATCAGGAAAGAATTTCGCTCTTGTCAAGTGCATCATGCTTCATGACCACTAACTTGATGTTTTCTTTCTTTCCTTTGTTGTTCTGTTTCCTATTTTGCCAGGAAGTATTTCCATAGTTGCTGAGAATCAAAGCACAAAAGAAATCCCTACCTATGTAAATGTTTGAATGGAGGACGCCAGTAAAAACAAAACTAAACAAAATAGAAACAAAATAAAAAAACAATCAAAATCCAAACAAACAAACAAACACGCACTGCATCGGGACTTTTTAATTCTTCAGACACTGACAACAAGGGTTTTTAGCTTTAAGCCTGTGCATGTGGACTGTACCTTGAGAACATGCTCAGAGGGGCAGTGTACAGGTGCTCTGTTTTCATGGAAAAACACTCCCCTCCCCCTCCCTCCGCTCTCTTTTTCTGATCGGTCGTGTTTGTAGAAACTTCCTAACATATATAGGCCAAGGAAATCTGCATGTATTTTTGGAAATATTCTTGGCTCTAGATTTAACAGTGACTTTAGCTCTACCGGCTGATGGGTGGGGTAGCCACCCCAGGCCCCTTCCCAAGACACAAAGACATGCACAGGAGTTTGAAACCCTGAGCTGTTTCTCTGTTCCATCTTCCTTATTGCCATTTCCGCTTCCAAGTTATCTGGTAGCTCTGTTGGCCCCAAGGCTGCTTTCTACATTCGGTGTGGCCACAGGGGTAAAGACATGAGTTGAAGTTCCATCCGCGCAGGCAGAGTAGGGAAGGAGGGCAGGAAGGCAGGGAGGCAGGGGAAAGCATGTCAGAAGGGAACTTGTGTCTTCCGTTCACCCGTTCCAGTCATGACTGCTTCCTTTGCAGCTTTCTCTACTCCTCGCTCGGTTTATATGGAAAACAGAATCCCAGTTACCCACTGACCGGCCTTTCCATTTGTTTGCTCTTCATTTGTGGTCATGATCTGTTGATGTCCTTGTATCTCTTCCTCCCAGTCCCCAAGTTACCCCTCATCTGCACCTACCTTTTCTTCCCAAACATGTTGCTAGATTCTGGACATTAACCCCGATGTTCCTGAAATAATGGCCTAGCCTCTGCCAACCCTGCCTCCGCCACCTGCAAGTTTCTGGTCTGTCGGTTTTGTACACTCCCAGGCATGCCAGCTTCCGTACTCACTGATCTAGCTGCATCCTGCCCTCAGCGTTTAGCTTCATGTGCCCTCTGTCTCCTCCTGTAGTACCTGCCTCTTCCAATATCCTTGTCCTCTCCTCCCTGGGAACATACCATGTGTGCGAAAGAGTCGGTTTGTATGCAGAGCCATTCAAACCTGGCCATGTACATTGGAAAAGAAAGCATTCAGATGAATGGTGGTATCCTCACACCATCACAAACATCTCATGCAGGCCGATTTTAGAAGATTCCTGTGAGAAATGTTTTGAGCTTGTTACTGTATGGCAGGGCAATTTCCTTCTGTGATGGTTGCTGTACTCAGTATTTCCTTTCTCACAGTAGAGTGAGAATATTTGTAAAATAAAACTGTTTTAACTGGAAGAAGAAGCAGGTTAATGGATTTAATGTTCAAGAGTGTCAAAAAGTCTAAAAGTAGACAGAGGTCTTGTCTTACATTAGGATGAAATTTTGATGATACAGAATCATCCCAGACACCTCACCTGTGTGCTCTCTGATCTCTGAGTATCATAGTCTCAGCAAAGACAAAAATCAATAGCATAAAAGACAGGAGTTAGCTCACTAACTAAAGTGGATTGGCTCAACGCATGACAAAATTCCAGTTTTCCCAGGGCAATCAGAAAAGAAGGCCCAGAGAAAGAAGGTAACAGAAGTATGTCCAGCAAAAGCCATTGGAGTATCCTGGATTGGGCAAACCCACTCTAAAATATAGAAGAAAACAGTTTTGCAAAACCACTCAGAGAGCACAGCCTCTTTCTTGGTCATGTCCCCTGGCCAACAACAGGGTATAAGAGGGCACTGTTGATATAACAGGACCCTGGGTGTCCTAAAGATCCTGATGATCCCTGTCCTTATGTAGCCCAGGCAGAGGAAGACTAGCAAGGCTGCCGTTAGAAGTTAATCAGGCAAAAGATGTTATGGTTGAAGATGCCCAGTATGAGTCTGGGAAATGGATTTATGCCTGAGTGGCCATTTATGGAACTCAATCGATCCCTGACCTGCCAGGCTTCCTATCCCATAGGAAACATCCTCACTGATCCTCTTCAGTTGGAGCCTCCCAAATTTAATCTGGAAGACAAAGTGGTTTGGGAACCAAAAGAGGCTCACTCAAAACAGCACAGGAAAGTCCTCAGAGTTGCACTTCAAATCAATTTAATTGGAAAATCATGAAAAAGGGAATAACACTCAAAACTAGCACAGTGCCTTGCCTTGAGTAAAAAGTTTTTTAAAAAATCATTTGTTAAAGGAATAAATGAATGGCTATATGAGAAGACAAAAGGAAGAAGGGGCTCATGAGGCTTAACTAACAATAGAGGGGAACATGAGATACCTGGCATTTTGGAAAGTGACCAGGTCTCGATTCAGCATTTCCAAGGTCCTCATGTGCCTCTTCTCCAAGTTTCCTCCCACCTGTAGGAGATTCATGAGGTAACGCACTGCTTAGTGGAGACCTCATTGTTCTTATAATCTTGCTCCATGTTTCTCAAAGTGCAGTGCCAGTACCAGCAGTATTAGCATCACCTTGGACTTGTTAGAAATGTTCATTTCGGGTCCCCACCCCATATCTACTCTAGGAATCAGAAACTCCAGGGGTGGAGCCCAGCAATCTGCTTTTACAAGTCCCTCAGATGATTGTGGTGTATACTAAAGTTTGAGACCCACTGTGCTAGGCCATTTCAGCTTAGTCCCAAAGAGAAGTTAGTAATAGCAGCCTACAAATGGGAGGGACCCAAGTGCCTACCCACTCACTAACAGCAGGTATAAACACGGGGCAGAGTTTGGTGGGCTTGAGGCCACAAGAATGGATGGAAGGGACAGATGTCGAGAGTAAGATTCAGGGCCAGATAGACATCTGATACTGCAATGTTCTCCAAAATCCCAGAAGGCCAACTGTGCATGTTCTGCCTAGAACTACCCAACCTACATTCTCTCCTTTGCCTTATTCCAAATTGGGTTCACTGTCCAAAATGCAGAGGTTTGCTTTGCTTTTTTCAGAAGTTCCAAACAGCAACTTTGAGAGCAATGAGGTGCTTGGCAGCTGTTCTGTGTTTTCCAGGATTCCAACTGAGCATTGAAATCCCTCATTTGCCAACTTATTTTTATAGGAAGCCAATTTAAAAAAAAAAAAAGAGAGAGAGAGAAAGTTTTCTTATAGTATCGGAACTACTTCTAATTTTCAAATGACTTTTTTGATGTATTTTTTGTTAAATACTATGTAGTGTAATGTATAATTGCTCTTGTTTATTGCTTTTACAATCATATTTATTAAACAGATACTGTCTCTAAAGTCTTGGCTTCCAGGTTTTTATTTCATCCCAGACCTTAGCATCCAGTCTGAATGTAGAAGGGATGCATCTGTAGGGTCCATAGAGGTTTACCATATGAGAGTATGGTAAACACCACAGGCTCAAAGGGTGATATTTTATGAGGGTTTTGTTTTGTTTTGCCGACAAAGTAGAATATACTACCTGGATTCTATCTACTTTTCAGTTGATTATATAATGTCTAATGCTTTATTTAAAAATTGCTACAAACTGCTTACTTTAAAATAGGTAATACGGTCATTATCCAAATCAGAAGTGACTATTATGGAACACACCCATTCAAATTCGTTTATAATCTTGAAGTTACTGAAGGACCAAACTTGCATGACACGAACTTGGGGAGTAGTGAAGTTTCCAATGATAGCATAAAATTGCCTTTACACCTAAAATGAAGGGAGCGGAGTTCTTCTTCTGGCTGCGCCAGCTGTGCAAACTTGAGCAAAGAACTTTAACAGACAGCGTATAATTTGAAGGACCGAGACACTTCCCAGCTTTGGCATCCTGATTGGGTGAGTTATTTCAGAGAGTCCCAATGAGCCAATTTGAACTTGGTGGAAACCAACCAGTCCAGGTGGACTGGATCCCAATCAGTTCAGCCTCATGGCTTCCCTGTGTAAGAGACATCTTTTCTTGCGCAACATTTTGCTCTTATAGTTGATTGAAATACATGTGTAGACACAGACCCCCCCCCCTTTGCCTTCCCAAAGACCTGCGAGGCTCCACACACAGGAGAATTCCTGGTGTTTTCCTGTGGCTTTACCTTTTTCTTTCCCACAGGCCAAATCTGCCTTTTGAACCTTCGTTCCTTTCATACCAGAGCCTATGCTGCTGTTCCCATTCAGGAGCAGTTGTCTCCTGTGTCACTGAGGGTACAGGTGGTTAAGCAAGATCTCAGTAGAGATTTCAAACAGAGGGGATGTAATACACGGAATTTCTTGCCTGATTTACTGAGGAGCCAAGATGCCAAATGGAGGAAAGGGGGGAGACCACAAGTTCAGCATTCATAGGAAGCCTCTCCCTTCCCTGGGCTGGAGGGACACGAGGATGCTCAGAGCCCAGGACCCAGGACGACCAGATTGAAGCTGAAGTCACTGAGCATGTGTCTGGCAGTTGTGGCAGCCACAAAGGAGACACAGAGGACATACCACTATAACCAGCAATGCTGCCCCAGCTGAGGAGACAAAGAGGGATCATGTCTTTCCCTTGCTCTGCTCCTCCCACCTCCAGCCTATGCTTCCCACTGAGAACTGGGAAACAGAGTTTCCTGAAATAACAAAGCCAAGCAGGGAGCAGTGGGGAGTGGACTGGAGAGAACACAGGCGCCTGGCACAGCGCCTCGTTCAAGTTCAGCCCACATCAAAGCCAACAAATGTCCCCCAACCCAAAGGCACTCATTAAACTGTAGATGCTCCTTTCTTTGAGACATTCTGTCATGGATTTCCCTTTAAGCAACCGATATTAAAAACTTGGCATTGTGTTTCTGTGTGCCACATGACACCTTTAGTCACCAGGTCCTGTGCTCACTTAGGGGAAGATTTTTATGTTATTTTTCATTTCCCTCCTTCCGCCTTTAGCACTGGACATTACCATTAGAGGGCACTAGGTAAGTGTTTGCTGAAACTCAGCCCTGGATTTCTCAGTTTCAGGTATCGGAGCAAGTCTGTTTTATTTAGCAGTGAGCTTCGAGATGTTGTCCTGGGTCTGACTCCTTACCCAGCTGGCACTTCTAAATCACATGGCCAGTTACTGTTCGTCAGGAATCAACTCATTCTTGCCCTGCCTCGCTGGTACCACTCAAGCTGCTGAAATCAGGAAACTATCTTTTAAGTAAAATAACTGCAGTTTAGAAATAGAAAAACTGGCTAGAAAGTAACACACACACACAAAAAACAGAAGACTGAGTTTGGTTTCTGAATGATTACGTAACCTGTTTCTCTGTTTCTTAGGATTTAATCGTATGTGAAATCTGCTCATTAGGCTAGTGCTTTCCTAGTGGGGGAATATGGCAGTAATTCCAGATGGACACATGCAAGGGGAAGGCTGCTACAGTTTTGGTTTTAAACTCATGAAAAGGGGGCTGCGGCTTACTCAGTACAAATATTCATTAATCACTATGTGCTGTAGACTTCTTTAGGTGAACAAGGCAGATATGATATCTGCCTTCACAAGCATATATCCTGATGGGAACAGTGAATGAATAATAAAATTCAATGTGACATATACAATGTTAGTATACACATAAGGTAGTTATAAGATATTGATAGGTAAAAATACCATAAAACACAGGAGGGAGCGGAGTGACCTGGGACAAGGATGGGAGAGGAAGTGTGGGTGGATGGCTTCTCTGAGCTCTGAAAACTGAAAAGAAACCAGCCATTTGAAGATACATACATTGTGAGCTTTCCACACCAAGGGTACTGCGTTATTAAATGAATATTCATACCTTAACACATTTGCATTTATTCTTTATGACACAGGAAATGTACCATGCATCACCACCTTTTTTCTCTCCTTTCATAGCTCACTGACCCCCTACTTATATCGAACCCTTCATATTCTTCTGTCCCGTAGCTACAATATCCTTGTAATATGTTGCATATGAAAAAGAAGAAATGACATTCATAGCACATTTGGAAATGCATCTAGGAGTTGGGAATGATATATGAAGCAGACCAAATAATTCTCTGATTTGTGTATCTGCTATATTAAGAATGAAATCAGTAGTCACCCACCCTTCTAGATTTCCTGGGAGCATTCTCAGATTATTTCTATAGGATAAAAAAAAAATCTCATCTCGTGTAATAATTATTTTCCTTATTCTTGCTAAGCTAGCATTTCATCCACAGATGTGTGCCTGTGTTTAAGAGAAATAAGCATGTTTTGTCGAGCATGTCCCCCCTCCCTTATGGATGCCCAGAAATCTTATTTCATAAATCTCCAGAAACGCCAATGCAACCCCAACCAAGAGAAAATTTCTGTAGAGCAAGAAGGAAGAATTGGACCTTTTCTGGCCAGGCATGTCACTGAGGACGACCGGTCTCCCGGGTTGTGAGCCATTTGAAATGCAACACTGCAGAATTCAGGAAGCAGTACTTGTTGCATGTTGGTCTTATTTAATCCAGTACATGAGATGATTTGTTTTGCAACCAATCCAGTGGTGTTTCTCAGCTGCCCAAGCTCCAGGCCTGTCTAGTATTTGAGTCTTGACCCTTTGGATCAGCATAGCCTTTGAATCAGCCCAGACCATCAAGTAGCCAGACACCTACTAACCGCACAGATGAATGGGAAACATTATTCTCTTAGGAAGAAACACAGCCCACAAGAAAAAGTAAATGTCTTGGTTTCATGAAGACCTGATATACCCCACGATCATGAGAGAGTCATTCCACTTTACTGAGTCCTGCTTTCACCAAATCTAACAGAAGACAGATATTCTTACTTTGGTAACTTGAGTGGATACATGAAATAATGGGTATAAGGCACATCAGATAATGGCACCCAGTGTTCAAATGTGATAGCTGCTTTATTATTTTTATCATTAATGTATTTTGCATTCACACTTTCTTATTTTATATGTGTGTTTCATTCACATTTTTATGTAACTCTGAACTCTTGGTTTTAGACACAAAATCCTGATAGCCTTTGGGCCTTTGGATTTAGTGTTTCTTTATATACATACACCTGTGCTTGGATCTGGACTTTACGCTAGGATTCCAGTTTGCTTACAGCTCTGGCTGCTGGTGTTCCCTCTGTGCCCTGGCCTTGGCCAATGAGAACATCCTGCCCCCAGTCATTCAGTGAACACTGGTTCAGCCTGTCCAAGGTCGCCTAGCCCAACCCCAAACTCCTAATGAATACACATGCTCCTGTCTCTATTCTACCACCCTCCCCTCCACTCCTACTGGTAAGCCACACTTCGGTGACGGTTCAACACAAGAAAAGTGCATGTTCACACAGTTCTCTGCTCTGAATATGGTTGTAGGAAAGTTTACACAAGGAAAAGGGTTATCTTTCTTTCGAAAGCACAGACCAAATCCCAAATCCCAAGTCCTTACTACTGAATGACACAAATAAAGACCTTCCTCTTGACCTTACTGGAGGTGGTACACGGGGAGATAAGCCATCTAAGCCCTCCCAGTGGAAAGAACTGACATTTGCTACTAACTTCAGTAAACAACAGATATGGAGGGAGTGTTTTCCAAATACCGACACTGAGTGATCTGAGACCCAGCCACTCCTACAGCCAGAGAGCTGCATGTCAACCACAGACACAGTCTGGGCCCAGGCCATTAAAGACTGGATTCCTTAGTGCAATTCTCATGCCTCTGCATGAGTTTCCTTTCTGTGGCCTAATTGCAGAGCAAGACCTTCCTTCCCCACTTTGAGCCATATATATGAGCACATTTGACCATGAGTTGTTTTTGTTTTATAACGGATGAGAATCCACAGTATTATTGCAGATAAGAAAAATATGGTTGGTTTGGGATGTCCCGCTCAGCCATGATGCATCATGAGACTTTAAATGGAAAGTAAGAAGAAATCAAGGTAGGAAGGACTGGAGAGGCAGGACTAACCCAGGTGAGTGGCTGCTTCTTGAACTTAATGTGGTATCCAAAAAGGCATAAAAGCTTTATTTGTATGAGGCACACTCCCCAATGTGGATCATGTTACCTGAGGGTTCCAAGCACTGATTGTACCAGAGGTCAGGCTGGTGGCCATAACCCAGGTGGTACCTGGGTGTCCTCAGTCATCAGTATTGATCTTATGAGACAGCAGGGCTTGGAGGTAGGTGGGTGAGGTCTGACCCTGTAGGACATGGAATGGCAGATACAAATCAGGACATCATCTTCCATTT